TCTCCAACCCCTTCCCACTTCTGCCTCCGTCTTCCTCCTCCTGCCCCCCTCCCTCCCCCAACCCCTGTTCTAGACCTCTCTTTTTCTTTTTAAGTTTTTATTGATTCCAGAGAGGAAGGGAGAGGGAGAGAGAGACAGAAGCATTAATGATGAGAGAGAATCATGGATCGGCTGCCTCCTGCACGCCCCCTACTGGGGATGGAGCCTGCAACCCGGGCATGTGCCCCGACCGGGAATCGAACCCTGACCTCCTGGTTCCTAGGTCAACGCTCAACCCCTGAGCCTCGCCTGCCGGCCGGGCTAAACCTCTCTTTCCAGACTCCGTCCCCCACACACACTCCCCTTGCCTGTCGGCTCCTCGAGCCACACCCCCCGTTTCCACCCCATCCCTCCCTTCCCTTCCCTCCCCCCTCTCCGTGTAGCTCCCTGGCCCTGGGCTTTCTGGGAGGAAGTGCTGGGCATTAGCTGAGGATGGGGCCCTGCTCCGATCCTGTTTCTCCCTCGGGAGGGGGGAGGCAGGTCCGGGTGCCAACCCATGAAAACCCACTTCCCGTGGCCGTCCCTGCGTCTGCAGTCACACGTCAGGTGTCGGGGGGCCCGGGGTCCAGGGAGGTCCAGGGCTAGCACAGCCTCCCCGGGGCCCTCTGGCCGAGGCCGAGGCTCCTGGGTGCTGACCCCTGCCCTCTGCCCCCCCCCTGCTGTTCCAGGATCTGCAGCTCTATCTCTCTAACCTGGCCAACCAGATAGACCGGGACACGGGGGTGGGGGACGTGCCCCTGGTGATCCTGCTGGACGACCTGAGCGAGGCCGGCTCCATCAGCGAGCTGGTCAACGGGGCCCTCACCTGCAAGTACCACAAGTGGTGAGCAGGGGGCGGGGCCGGGGGTGGGGCAGCCCGTGCCTCTCCTCACTGCCCACGGCCGGCGCACGCGTCCCCACGCCTCTCAGCACATCCTTTCACACACTCTCTCCCCTCAGTCCCTACATCATCGGGACCACGAATCAGCCCGTGAAAATGACCCCCAATCACGGCCTCCACCTGAGCTTCAGGTGAGCGTGGGGCCCCGAGTCGATACACTCGTTCCGTCCCAGGACATGGCCTGAGAGCCGTCTAGGGCCGGCTGGGCTGGGAAGAGGGAATGGGGGGCCAACGTGGGCCCTGGGGGAGAGGGGAAGGGAGGGGAGGGGAGATGGTGGGAGGAGAAGGAGGAGGGGAGGGGGAGGGATCCCAAATCTCGGAGACGCAGCAGGTTCGGGCCCTCTGCCCGCACCCCCGCTCGGCCGGTTGTCCGAGGAGGGTCCCTGGCCGGAGAACCAGCTCTGCCTGCCCATGACCGCTGCCCCGAGGTCAGCTGACCCCTCTGTGACTCGAGACGAAACCAGGAGGGCACTGGCGGGAGGGACAGGCCGGCAGGGGA